GTCCTTAGGGTGAGATATACCTTCCTGCCTTCCTCCTCCACATTCAGTGGCCATCACTCAAAAGCCTTCTCCGCCTCGCGTGACTATATTCATCCATGGTTGGTTCTGAGGTTCTCTGCCCGCCAGGTACCTACCGAGTGGGGGTGCTGAAAAGTGGGGCATGGCTTCATGGTCCCAAGACAGTTCTTTGAGTAAGGGTGTTTGCATGGGCTACAGCTCTCAAGAATGAAATGTGTCTGCATTTTACTGAAGATGCCGCGTCAAGAGCCTTGCCATCAAGGCATGGGAGCCCTGGGAAGAGAAGAGTCCATGTGAACATCAGACACGCTTTTCTAATGGTTCATTTGCTGGCATGCAATTTTGGGTTGGAACATATACATCATGCCAAATACCTGTTTCGAAGTTTTGAAAAATTAGAGAGATGCATATCAAAACAACAATGAGATATCATCTCACCTCAGCAATAGCAGCCATTATTAAAAACAAAAACAAATAACAAATGCTGGTGAGGGTGTAGGGAGATTGGAAGGCTTATATTTGTACCTCGATGGGTGGGCAACAGTCTGGTGCTTCCTTTAAATGGTAGAAATAGGTCCCCATATGGTCCGGCCATCCCACCACCAGGTATAGATCCTAGAGAAATAAAGGCAGCGGTCCCAATAGATAGATGCATACTTAGGTTCACCGCGGCACTATTCACAACAGCAGAAAGGATGGAAACAGCCTACGTGCCCACCAGTGGGTGCACAGTGAACCATCGGGGGTTCATACACAGCGGAATAGTACATGGCAAACGAACGATGACTCGCCTGTCAGACAGCACAGAACACAGATGAACCTGAAGGATATGAAAGGACGAATATTCTGAGACCCACTATAAAAAATTTAAAAAGGTTTACACACTGAAAGAAACATTCAGAAAGAAAAAAGATTCTTAGATGGTTACCAGGCATGGGCGGGGGCGGGAGGTGGGGGGACGGGAGAGGGACAATCACCAACTAAAGAGTGGCCAGGCATAACTTTGGTGAAGGGAAAGGAAATATACAATGAGGAGGAAGTTCGCATAACCTGACCCAGTCAAAAGAAGGCACTGACAGGTACTCAGAGTAAAAGGCAACCATGGGAAAGACCAGGGCACACACTCCTGCAATAACCAAAACTCGCAGGTGGATACATAGGTAGATATGTGCGGTAGTTACATAATCTGGTGTCAACGTGTGGAGGGGTGGAGTCTAGCCTGTCAATCAGGTCGCAGCTTGATGACCTCATTGGGAGGCACTAAGGCGATAAATAGCTCGCTGGAGGCGGGACACAAGCTCACCCCCTATGAGACATCCCTGCAGATGAGACACATGAAGCTATGCTAGAGCTCTGGAGCTGAAGGAGCCACGTGGAGACCACTGCCAGCACTGAGATGCTTACAATACCACTGGATCTATAAGACTTTCCACCCACTGGCCTGTGATCTTCATGCATTTGGCGTCATTGCATGTGTTGCATGAGCCTGAAGAGGAATTTATAGGCTGGTATTGGATATATGGGCTAATATCAGACTTGGGGGCTTGATCTGGACTGGACTGGAATGCTTTCTCAATATTCAATTGCTCTTGTGTAGAAAGCTCTTTCTTGTACACAAATGAGTGTTTATAAATTTATTTCTCTAGTCTACCCAGACTAACACAATATGCAAGCTGAGCAGGGGTGGGATAGAGGATAGCATTACACCCATGAAAATATTTGGCAGAGGATATTCATATTTATTTATTTGTATTTATACATGCTGTACCTATATCCATGTGAATGAAATCAACATTATATAGAGGATGCAGGAAGCAAGGTATGAAAATCTCTTCGTTGTAACCAAACTCCTCGAGGGGTTGAGTCACTGGGCTTGGGGCCTTAGGACCATCGTCTCAGGGGACATTGAGGTAAATGAACATATTGTGGGACACAAAGACAATGTTCTACATCTGACTTCGCTGAATAGGGACCAGGGTCTTAAGAGCCTGAAAGCAGCCATCTCAGACACAACCATTCTCACCCCATTCGGAGCAAAAAATGAAGACAGTCAAAGGCCAGATGAGACCATGGACAACACGAACCACAGCCTCCACTAGCCCGACAGCAGGAGAACCAGGTGGTGCCTGGCTACCCCTACCCACCACGGGGTGGATAGGGACCAGAGAAAGTCCTGGATAGTCTAGTAGAATATCTCATTATAAAATTCAAAATCATAAGACCAAACTTATTGGTCTGAAGAAATTCCACTCGGGTGGAATTCCTGAGACTGGTACATGAGCCCCCATCACTCCTGAGACTGAGCTCACCCCCCCACCCCCCAATCACCTCTTAGCCTGTAAGGTATACAATACCACCTCTCAAGTATACAATACCACCTGTAAAGAAGATTCGGTTTCAGAACAACCAGCTGGAGGAGACCTAAAGGGCAGAATCTGCCCTGTAACCAAGTCCTAGAGGCAAGGAAGGGCGGGAAAGATGGGCAAATGCAAATGGGCGCCCAGAGAAGTAGAGGGAAGGGTGCTGTTGAAGGGAGTGTAGCTGATGCCAGAAAGCACAATGTGTTGGATGCGACGCTAATGTGCTCTGTACACTTTCACCCAAACCACAGGAAAATGCTAGTTTTCCTACTTTTATTTTAAAAACTCATCTTCTAGACTGAGGGTTGGTTTTCAAGCCTGTTTCTAAAAATCAGCGGAATCCCATTGCTACACAATCCCAAGATCCCCAGGGGTGGGATTTATGGGGGATCCCAAAGCTCTCTCCTCTGTGACCCTCTCAAGTTCTTCCTTGAGCCTCACATCATTCCCTAAGATACTTCCAGGGACCTCCGACCAACTGAGGGGCACATTGAAATCTTCTGTTAGGTCTTACCAATAGACCGAATCAGGTCTGGACACCAAATGAATGCGGGTTCAGGTAGGTCGCCGGTGAGGTGGTGATGGAAGTAAGAGATGACACAAGGGCTGGACTTCTTTCCGTTCATCTGCAGAGATCTCAGCCCAGCAGTCAAGAAACCATAGCCCAGCAGTGTCTTCACACCAGGCTAGTCTGCATCAAAGGCAGCCTGGGTGTCGTCCCACCTTTGTTTATTAAACAGATGAGCCAGTGCTGTTTTGTCCTAGTCAGGCCCGTCCAGGCCTGACATGGAAATATTAAAATCCTAGGGCCTAAATCCTTTTAGTGTCAGGATTATGGTGACCTAAATGCAAAACATTATTGGGTACTGAGTTACCTACTGTCTACACATGGAGACTTCATCAGGGAAAGTGAGACAATTCTTGTTTCTACGACACTCGTCGAGTAGGGACCAGCTAATCAAAGAATTTTCTTTTGTGCTTGGTCAGATGGGATGGGGCTGTGGGAGAGCAGATAACGAAATAGTAGCGGCGACCATGGTGGGTGTGGTGAGTGATGGTGGTGGGGATGTCAGTGATGGCGGCAGCAGCAGCAAGGGTGGTGGTGGTGGGCAGCAGCTGTGCTGTCAGTGGAGATGGTGGTGAGTGATTTGAGTAGGGATGCCGGTGACCCAAGAGTAGCCGTGTCGGTGGGGGTTGGGATGGTGGCTGTGGTCGGAGTAAGTGACGATGGTTGATGTGATGCTGGTGAGGTTCATGGTGTGATG